CCTGGCGGCTGAGTCATCAAACCTGAGCCGTGTAGCAAGTGTTTGCAATACCTTCACTAATAAGCCAATTGATTTTGATATTCAGCAATTATTCAAAGGGTGATCGAATTATTGATATCAGTATCAAAAATTATAGATGATTATGAGTAAGTACACCCTGTATACGGTTATTTTTATATAGAAGCCAAGAAAATAGTGTGTACGTATTAAAATTAAGTTAGTAAGATAGGCTCATGAAGAAAAAGCTTCATTTGTTCAATAATATATAATATATGTATTACTGATTTGTAAACGTTATTGAATAAAACCTTAAGGGATAGTTTTTTTCGAAATTAGTAATAATATTATGTACTATGTACGTAGTTGTATATGTTACGAAAACGATAAAGAAATGCGATTTTTTCAATACAAAATAAATTTAGAACTATATCAAAATAAAGAAGTACATATAATATTATTTGTTTTGTTATATATTTATACATATAACTATTTATATAATAAATAAGGTAAAAATAATTAATACATCTTATTTGGTTAATCCGCCAAGTTATTTGTTAACGGCAATTAGATTTATACGATATTTTATGTACTTGATATATACATACATATATCTACAATCTAAATAATATACTTATATCTCTTAACATCTTTGTCATAATATTTAATATAAATAGTATAATTCTATTTATAATTGATAAACATTTTAAATAAAATTTGATTAATTTTTTAATCTCTTTCATTATTATCTTAACGCTCGGGAAAATCTCAGCTGTCTATACAAGAATTTAGAATCTACCAACTAGATGCTCGAATAACGTTAACTATACTAAATATTTATTAACTTAAATACTTTTGATATTATGTAATTTTAGTTTTATTATTACGAATTACGAAAAGATTTGAGTATATGCTGTATTTATATGTCAAGTCAGTGAGGGCCTAGTGGATAAAAGGCCCGCCTATCATGCATGAGGGCGCGGGTTCGATCCTGGCCCGGGCAAGTACCAATATGATTTTTCCGAGTCATATGTACTTTCTAAGAGTATTTAGACATCACTGATTAATGCTGATTCCCAAAGAGGGTTAATGCCAGGCAGGCGGCCGGTCGTAAAAACATATCCAAAACTATTCACAACATGTAAGGCAGACCCTGGCTATAGCTGGGAAATTGCCAGGTAGAAGAAGAAGAAGAAGAGCTGTACATAACAATGTACGTATGGACATACTATGGACAGTTGAACACAAAATAAATCTTGTAGAGAAATATTATATGTATTTAGCTTTAAAATAAGACTCCTGCATACATGTGTTGATTTCCAAGCGCATAAACTAAAGTATATGTAGCATTTTTTTTTGTAAGAGAAATGAAAATGTCAATGAATAAGGATCTAGTAACTGCAAGTATTCCCGCTTTATATGAATAAAAAGAAATGCAGGTCAACTCGTAATTATAAAAATAGTATTTAAATTAAAATGACAGGCATATTATATTTATATATGGAGCTGTCAAAAATCAAAAATAACGTCCACAGATTATAATGTGTAATGTAAATTAACAAAATAGATAATATCAGATGTTTCTATGTTGAAAAAATATAAATTTAAAAAGAATATTTTAAAATTATGATTTAAGCTAAAATCTACTTTAATATTATTTATTATCATAAACGCTATTGTTGTTGTTAAAAAAGTAATTTGCGTCTTTGTAAAAACAAAAAAAGCATTATATTATTTAATTACTTTATTAATGTATATATTTTTTAAAATTTAATTTCATAGAAATAATATAATGAAATAAATGAATAAAAAAGAAGTAAAATAGTAGTGATTTCTAAATATTGTCTTGACTTTATTTTTTCTAATAATTTTAAACAAAATATATGTAAACCAAACAAGTACCCAGTTTTTTTATTAGAATAACTATATTCATATAACTATTATTGTCAAATAGAAAACGTTTGTTAGCGGGGTACAGAAAATTGGATTTTAGGTAATTAAAGAATATAATATTTTGAATATTCTACAGTAATGAAAGCCATTAACATAATATTTGGACGTTTTTTGAATTATTCTTGGAAAAGTTAATCTATAGTTTTCCTTTATGTGATCTACGTAACCATACAACTTCATCATAATGTTTCCAGCCGCCAGATATGTGTATATATTTTTATTTATAAATTTTTTCCATGAAAAATAACAATAAGACTGTTTTTTTAATGGATTCCAAATCATAATAAAATATGAAAACAAGTGTATATTATTGATGTATTTTCATATTATATTGAAATAATATTTTCAAATAACATTAAAAACCATAACAATTCATAGGAGCAAGGAGTTAATTATGAAAAAGGTTTTGGTTTCGCTACAAAGGGAATACTGTTGTCTTTGTAATTTACTGTTTGGTGTTATCTGTGGTTGTGTTACACCAATTGTAACACCTTTGTAATTAGTTTACAAAAAATGCAAAAGATTCATAATGATATTTTATCATATTAAATTGTTATTTCAATTCTGCCCACAAAGAACTATTCGACTCATAGTTGTTCGAATATAGATCCTTTCTAACTACCCTTAGGACGAGATAGGAACAAGGAACTAAAAACCGTACGTTTAAAAGTTTCTGAGTTAGAAATTCACTTAAAATTTACGTATATGACGTGACGTATTGACGTGAAGGAGTAACCTTAATACTATCCTTGTTTAGTCCTTGTATAGTGTATAAGCTGCATAAAAAATATAGAATATAACTTCCATATTTAATAATAGTTCTAAGAATTATTAAAGTATTAAATCCTTAAAACATCATGAAAATAACAATATGTCACAATATAGAAGAATACAGATAATAATATTAATAATAAACACGGAATAATTCGGTCAAAACCTCATCCATTCACAGTCAAAGTACGTTAGATTTTAAAATGGCGGGCAACGGTGGACATATTGATTTTGTTTTTGTGATGCAACTCATAGAAATTATTGAATCCATGATCCATGTTTTATTAATAATAAAACATATATTTATGGTTTAATTAATTAATAATTTAGAATTAGTGTGTGTCATCCTTAGTTGTATTTTTTTTATTTATCGAAATTGTCTTTACGGCAGGCCAAGACGGTACTGTTGCGCATTTAGTATTCATAAAACAAAAGAAAATAAAAAATATTTACGAAAAAATTCAGTGGAATTTTATCTATCACGATATATATATCTTTCTTAACTGATAATATGATAACAATTTTTTTTTGTTTACGATAAAATATATAAACTTAATTTACTAAACAAATTCATTTTAATTATATAAGAACTATATGTATATCTTAAACATATAGTATTTTATTATTATTATTAAGTTTATCATATTAAATATCTAGAATTAAGTAAAAGTACGTACCTAGTTTCATACTTATATTTTATATGAAACGTGCGTTCGATTAAAAAGAGAGCTTATTGTTTAAAGTTTAAGGTTGGTTTTCGTTTGTATTATTTTTCATCAGCAAAATTCGACATCGAACCAGAATTGCTTTCATAATGTGTAGAAATACATGATACAAATTATTTTTAATATTAACCATTATTATTTTTATGTTATAGAGTCAGTGTTAAAAGAAGGTAGGTTCTAATTCAGCTACTCACTAAGCCTTACTACATATTGCATCATTACTCTTCATACGATATTTAATTTTATAAATAAAAACTAAAAACGCCGAGTGTACAGTCTGTCGTACAGACTTGTAGTAAGGATGATGTAAGTCCAGGTGTATTTTCCCGAGCGATCATTGGCATTTAGGAAAGTATGAAAGACAGAGAGTATTCGAGAACGGTCGAATAGATGGAAAAAAAGAGAAATCTCTGCTCTCTCACACGTCAAAGAACGTGCTTGTATGATAGATAAGAATTATACACCCAAATATATATATAAAATAATCGGAAAGTTACTTATTATACGACAGCCTCAATATATATATAAAAAAATCTACATTGATTGTAATTAATTTTATAATGTTTTTTCTATTATTCGAATACAAAATAGTCATTATATAATGACATTTTAAAACATATACAAACTTTTTAAATATAAATTCTATATCAGACAAGAAGACGTTCAGAAACCGCATTGTAACAAGCGACGCGTCCCAGTACTGAACCCGGGAACCCGCGAGACGATTCCTGAACGTTATTCGGTTTCTGTCCGTCCTAGATGTTACACCCATCACTGACAGCATTATACAACGCGCCACCTAGCGTTAGGACACGCATACATAAAAAAAAACCATTTAATTTAACAGGTTTACTTTCAAATTTCAATTTCCTTGTTCACGGAGAAGTTACGATAGCCCATACTTCATCCTGATCAGAAATTTAATATAGTTATTTGTAAGAACATACAACATAATGTTCTGATATACAAATGATATCAATGTTACCGGATTGTGAAATAAATACTTCATTAATATTTTTTATATAATACGTCAACCATTAGTGCTGTAGAGAGCCGAGTATCAAGTCGCTTCTTTATTTCTCGTTTCAATGCCGTAATGATACTACAGCGTCCAATGAGACCTCAGGTATTCTCTAAACCGAATGAGATATAACTATCGCAGCGCTGCATATTTTTGTAAAAACCGAAAACGCGACATCTATGAGCGAAGCCGCAAACTTCAGCGGGTGAAATGCGTTTACAATGTTTATTATCGGCAGCAGTAATGGTACTACAAATTTAGTTCTTGCCCTACAAAAAGCGTTTCTCCTTTCATAATAATAAGAATACGTCGAGCGAGTCGCTCGGTTTGTGCCGGCTCGCTCGATACGTGCGGACGCGGCGCGCTGCGCTCGTGTGCGTGCGTGGGTGCCGCTGTGTGCGTGGGCCGCCCGCGCCCTCCCCCCGCCACCCGCGCCGCCGGCCCCGCGTTCACCGAACGTAGCTTTCTGTTAAGTTATATAACGACATACATATATACGCTCAGTAAATAATATACACTGTGAATAGCGAGCTATGTGCTGCCACCTAGCGGCGCGCTCCACTCCGAGCCACAGACTACGAGCGAGCGATACGTTTCTTTATACGGATATTACTCAAGGACCTGAAGCATCAGCTTTTTGTGTATTTTATATTTTATGTGTAATTGGAAACTTTACTTTTGTTTATAAGTTTCGACTCCGCTTATTATATTCGATAGGGTTTTAATGACAGATGTATATTGAGGTGTAACCCGTGGCCTTTATTCTATTCTTGTTCTAATTAGGTGTTTCCAAATAGTGTTAATAACTACTCTTAGAGATAACTAATTCTGTTTGGAGAAACAGAACGTCATTAAAGTTGCAGCTCTAATGATCTAGTATATAAACACGAGTATATATACATTTTAAATGTTCATTAACTGTATTATGAAAAATTAAATTCTATTAGTCTGTGGTTCCAATACGCGATTGCCGAGCGCTCGCCTTGGAAGGGAGTATTCTTTGGCATTGGCTCGGCTTGAGTCTGCTCGAGTGGCTCGAGGTCTCGATGCTCGAGCCGACTCGGGCCGACTCGAGCACGACTCGAGCTCGTATCGAGCCCGTAGCAACGGGAAAATTTCACAAGCAGCCATCCATGACGCAGTCGACTTACCCGCGCGGCGCCCCGTCCGACATGTCTTTAAAATGGCGCGCTGGCCTTTCGTTTTTGAACGTAACGAAATAAGGCATCCATATTAAGTGTTCTATTCTTTTAATGAAAATATATTAATTAGTTTCTATTATATTATTCGTTTTATTTAATACCATTCTATAAGATATCTAATACACAGCATGAGATCTACATAAAGATATATTGGCCTTAACCTTAAGTAAAAAAAAAATATTAATTAACGTGATACGTTCTGAAACCTAAATTATTTAAATCCTGTTCTATATATGACTAAATGCTACGCATTTCACATTCGACCTTTTTTATAATAAATAGCGTTCATCACATTTAATTATAAATTCAGTATAAATATTTTACATACAAAAAGATAAAACTTCATGTACAGAATTTCGGATGACTTGTTAAATTAAAAAAAAACAGAGAATTTATTTAGTTTTTGTTACTCTCAGTTTTATTTTTTTGTGAATATAATAATAAAAATAATATGAGAGAATAAAAACCTTTTTGTACGTTCAAACCTGTAGCGCTCAGCGCTTGATACCGTTACCGGCTGGGAGATTTTCCCTGTCACGCAATTTAGAATACATTTCGCTTTCATAACACAACACCAAATAATACTAATAGTGGACAGACAATGTATAGAAAACTACATATAATTTATATTTAAAGTTGCGAGATACGTTCCGTTTTACTGACGGTTTTTGGAATCGAAACTCACGAATGAGGTTGGTTTCCAAACTATCACTACGGACGAATATTTGTAATATTTGGTGAACATGGCGGCGTTTGTATGAAAATGGCTCAGCAGCTTTGATGTATAGCACGCAATGTATGACGAATTATAATTAACAAGGAATAATTGATTATTAGTAGTATATATATTATATGTGTATAAATAAAAAATGGCGAATACATATAATAAGTTGTTTCATTATATTATTTTAGACATTCTTTATCAAATAAGTGGAATTAGTTTGATTGAGAATTTTCGTCTAATCAGCTCTACAAAACAAAGAAATCCACACATTAATAATTAATAGTGGTACAAGTCTTGGCTGTTTGTGTCGAGTTTGAAGATAAATAATTATATATTAATATTGAGTTAAGAGAAAAGTTAAAAGGAAAGAGATTCAAACAAAGAATAAAAAATATTAAGTCATAACATACCTAACGAACAACTCATTGTGTTCCCACATCAAAAAAAGAAATAAAAATTAAATACGATATACAATTTTTATTCAGATATATCATTAAATTAAATATGTTAATATTTTTCTAGTTACTTAACTATGTAATTCGCCTTAATTTTCTATTTCCAAATATTTATTAACAACTGAACATCACCGAATAATGAAATTAAAATATCTATAATTTACTGTACCGTATTTCAATAAGATTATTACACTACCAGGGTACTGTCGGTAGAGTTCTTAATAGATTGGTTATAAGTCATTAAATAATGATGTAATATTTTATTTAGAGCTCTGCGTATAACGGAGTTGTTTTGGGGGTAGGATAACGCTATCAGTGAGGTTTCAAGGTCTCGCCGGCTAGTGGCTGTAACCATAGATCTGTTTCGCAATCGGCACCACGCCGTTACCGAGCCCCAGCCGACATTAAACTCTAAGCTAATAGTCGCAGGGCGCCATTCAGGTCGTTATCAGAGCGGCGTGTGATAACAGCGAACGCTCGCCCGAGCAGAATCGTATAACAAACGAAAACAAACCCACGCATCGCTCGCAAAACGTTACTGAGACGCCACCTACAGGAGAGCGGACGTAATACAATCATCAGAAAACATATACAAAACGGACGAGCTCTTAAAAAGGAGGCGTCATTTCAAAATACCTATTTCGGTATTTCAGGACCGAAATCAACTTCATAACAATTAACGATACGTCCCCCGCCTCTAAATTCCTCGCCGGGAGCGTGCCGCCGTCGCCGTACGTCGCGATAGGACTCCTTCGCATAGATAGAATAGAGAGCGGTTTCCGAACGCACCCGGCCGCTGTGTGTGTGTGCGTGCGGCGTGTAGCGACACGCGCGCCTGTGTGCGCCTGTCCGTGTGCACGCACACAGCCGCGCGGCCGGTGAGCGCTGTTCACCGCACTCTGTGAGCGCAAACAACCATCTATAAGGCCACGCTATAGCTGACAGAGGGACGCGCCGCGACACAGGCCGGATATTATTTTACACTTTTTATTTACTATGCCGCCTTCATTGTGCTACATTTTATGTTTTCATAGCTATATACATACTGAATCGAGATTTTATATAAGGATATTTAGTATTAAATACATTTAGAAGACAATTAGTGGAGATATCGCAAAAAAATACATATTTTTTCTTTGAACGCATATTTTTTAAACTGATTTATTGTGATATTTTTATTAAAGATTATTTGAAATATTTCATTTTACCTGAATTGATTCAAAAATCGTACTGTTTTATTATAAATTATGAATTATTTTATACCTAAAATAAAAGTAGATATATGATTTAAAAATACACAGAACATTTCCTTGAAAATTAAACAGTACTTATCAATTTGTTTAATACAACTTATAAAGAAAACAAAAGCAATATTTTTTGTCAAAATTCCTTATTATTGATAATTAAATTAATAAAATTTCTTAATATACATTGATTTTTCATAGTAATTTCATTTAGATAAATATGTATATTACAAATTCATGGTATATTTTATCGGCTTGTTATACTATTGTATATTTTTAGTCATTCTGATTATAGATTTGTTTGAAAAAGGAGATTTCGTATGACATAATACATAAAATTTAATAGAAATGAACCTGAAATAAAATAATCCAATAAAAATTTTAGAGCAATATTTTAGAATCGAATTATTTTTAAAGATAATATTTTGTAGTGTAATGTTATATGAAGATAAAGCAGACGAAAGATTAATAAAATTATAGAAATATATTAAAATATTAAATTTTGGTTTTCATGGTGTTTAATATAGTAAAGTAACGTACTTAAACATATTCTGACGTAATTTTTAATATTAAAATTTCCGTTCAAAGTTACGGCACAAGAACCATCCGATATAGTTTCAAGGACAGTCTATCCTACCCTTTATATTTTACAAGTGGAACCAAATCTATAAGTCATTGTAAAACGTTAAAAAATCAAAAATAAACTTCCCATACAAAGTAAATAGTAAAACAGTGAATCGGCTTGAGGCGCGGCGCAGCCGGTATATTTCCGACATAATACCGCTGCGTCGAGCGATTACTACTATATATTCTATATACATTTAATAGCTATACAGGCGCGCATAGAACTGGCCGTACTTATGTGAGCGCTACCAACAGGCGCTCTGCAGCGCTGGGGCGCTTCAATATTATGTTTAGTCTAATGTAAGAATAGCATCCGGTGCTGCAGCGCTTCACAGTCTAGTCGGCCGGCTTATTATTATCGTAGATTGGCGTCGGCGCAACTACACGGCGTTAGAAGGACGTTCCGTTTTAAATATCAGGTTTTATTATTATGAAGAGCGGCGCTGAGGAGTGCGGACCGTGGAGCGAGGCGGGCGGAGGTTGCGTGCGATAACATTTGACATTCGTAATTAGTAGCCGGGGCTCGGGCTCGGGCTCCGAACGAGGCTCGGGCTGCGCAGGCGAGGCTGGCCGTGGACAGGCCGGCCGCTCGGGACAAAGAGGTCGCGTTGCGTCAGCGGAGCGCCGGCGGACGTTGCCGCCGCGACGCCCGCATCATAACACTACCACATACCACGACTCAGTCTACAACAACGAAAACTATGATCCATACCCACCAACCACTATACTTAACATAGGATCTACTATGATAGAACAGAAACCGTTTCAAAAAATAATAATGATCATAAAAAATAATAGTATTTGTTCTTCTCCTCGTTATTGTGATATATTTAGTTCAACAGTCAATTTTAATATGAATGTTAATAACAAACAACTTAATTCTTACAACGGACGTCAGTTTTGACAAATAAAAACAAAAGTTTCCAGATTTCCAATTCGCTAATATATCACAAGTTCCCAGCACTAAAACCGAAATACCGAACTCGACTAATGAGTCCGAAAATAGGGAGCCCCGAATAACGACCTTAACGCCTCGTAATAAGGTCGACGTGGAGTTTGATTTAATACATCAGACGGAGTCAAAGAGCAGAGATAGAGATAAAAACGAGGAGGAAAACATCGACGCTCTGCGACAAGCGATACGACTTACAGTACGGCCGTCTTGAACAAACAATACCAGAAATACGTCACGCGAAACTATTCTTTATTATTATCAGAATAAAAAACAAAATCGCCTGAGTCATACCAGCAGGTAGACACAGTTGACACGTCGCGAAATCATAACGAATGGTACGAGCTGTACATGGTGTATCAAATTCATTACTATCATAATAATTTCTTTATTTTATATGAACGTATTTGTTATTTTGATTCTCTAACATCCTGTATATATAATAATCGTATTGTCAACTTTTAATATAAGTTCCTTTCGATTCATCTTCAGAGTTAATGAGGCTCGTGGCTCATAGAACAATTGGTAACTAATGATAAACACGAAATTGATTTTTAAACTTTATAACAATCTATTTCAGTCTAGTATATGTATAAAGAAATTGGTTATATACAAACATACAAGGCATAAAAAGAAAAATTCTCTCAATTAGAAGAATGGACTTTATTTTACAAATTAAACTAATAATATATAAATAAGCCTACTTATTCTACATTAAAATATTAGTACGTATAAAATTACTATGTATAATGAAAAAAATAGATTATATTTACTATATTTTAAGCTTATATAAACTAGAAGTATATAAAACGATCACATGACGCACCATCATCATACATTGCGCGCTTAGAACTGACTCACACTTATATTTATAGAGTTAATTAAGCAATGTATTATTAATATTGGTCGATATTCTAAATATAACTGTAGATTCCCGACCTGTACCAAGTTAACCAATGTCATTATGATAAAATTTAGATTCGAAAAATTATAGTATAAATTTAATTATTTATTTAAATATATCATTAATATGAGAATTTAATATATTTAAACGATTCATTAAATAAAGTTATAAATCGACGGACGTAAAAATATCATTGAGAACCTCCTTGTTCGGAGTAGGTTAAAAATAAACGAAACATAAATATAGAAATTATTATATAGAGAATTAAAAGAAATGCACATAAAATAATAGTTAGAATAACTGTACCATATATCATTGTATTTTTAATTCCATTGGACGATATAAATATAAATTCTAAATCTTCGAACTACTAACCTGATTTTGATGAACCTTTTCGAATTTATAGTCAGTATAATTGATAAGGGTTGTCATCCAGAGGAATGATAATTTGTAGAGAAAAAAACAGGTTCCCACGGGCAAAACCTATTGCTGCATATATTATCGTGTTAAAAGACTAACTATTAGGTTTTTCCTTGGCTTAAACTCGTCACAAATAACCTAACACCATACTTATTTGTCCATATAACTTATTTTTATGTAAATAAAATAAAAATAATTCTTTTAAAACAATTAACTAATAGTATTAATTAATGTATGTTTATTATGGCACTAGTAGCTGCCGATGACTTTTGTCTGTACATAAATCTTTGTTCTGGTCAAATAATATGGCGTGTAACATATTTTCCTGCGGTAACCTGCGGATTCGCGAATTATCAATACTATTGACAAAATGGTGCTGGTGTTTTAAACTAGCTTTTATTTCTGACTTCGTTCTCATTTAAATTTTAATAAGAGAGTAATATAGGAATTAAAGAAGGTAACATAAAGGTATTGGGTTTTATAATTTCAATAAATGAACAAATTATACTCATTAATATTGTCTATGACAGTAACATTTTTTAAATTTTAATATTTTAAGGAAACATTAAATATTGATATTCTTTCGTATTATCCCGATGGTAAATATTTTATTGCGTTCTTTGATCATAATATGTAACACAAAAAAAGTAATTACCTACATTTACGTATAGTTCTTGAGATTAACGAGTACAAACACACAAACAAATTCATCATCTCTACTATAATTATGTAAAAGAATATAAGCATTTCAATAAAATTAAAATGCGTATAAATCTGTCTGCTACTATAGTACAGATTATAAAAGAAAATATTATTTATTATTACGTATTTCTTAAAATATACAAATATTTGTAGCAGATATTAAATTTTGTTAAAAGTAACTTAGTTGGATGTTCTTGATCTTCATAATGAGTTGTTCTGAACTTAGAACACAGATAAGCAAACCATTCGGCAATAACATGTATAATTATTAAAATTATTGAAGAGTAAATGAATTGACAGTTCTATAAATATTAATTTTGTTACTCAGTAGGGTATTCGACTTGATACAAATATGAAACAAATCGTTACTAATAAGTACTGACTAAATAAATAATATTTAAATTAAATTAACTAATAATAATTACATATATGTATGATTTTCATTAACATTTTATAAAAATTACCTATTAAAATATTGCGCTTGAACGCGTGATTAAAAACGCTTTTGATTGGTTAAAATCAAGTGACATATTGATATCACGTGACCCAAATATATGGTTTCTTCAGCGTTTTGGCGGTTCTTTTTATTATTTCATATTTGATTATGATTTTGTATCATATGTATATATTTTGAATGAAAAGTGTGTTATAGTACAATTACCAATATGTGATATTGCCTTAAAATCTATTATATACACTATTATATCAGTAACTATTTACGTACGTCAGTTTTAATAAGTGAAATAGACAAAAAGTACTGTTTGATTTCAACATACGTTCGAGCCCGCGGGCGTGTTACGTGTATAAATTTTGTTTTAACAGAACAAAGGTATTTTTAAATGTATCAAAGGTACAATATGTACGATTTTTAATAGAACCTTATTCTGAAAAACTATTTCTATAAATATAAGTGAAGTTGTTATGGAGGAAAAATATTAACTGCCTGACAATAACGTCATGTTTTAGCTGTAATTGCTGGTTTTGTCTAATCAGTCGCACTTCGCTGGTCTGTATTGCGATATTCAGTCTTAATGCTAAGAGAATAAAGTATATAATTAATGTTTTTTTTGTACTATAATGTAGACTTGATTTCTGGTTACTATTATGATTTCGATAACGTTTCAGTATTGGAGTAGATTCGTGTGGAGACGAATCTTCATATCGATCTGTTTCTGGGATAAATTTCTAAGAAAAGTTATAATTTTTCTATTCTATTTATTTTATATATAAACTGTTTGAAATAAAGGTCTTTCTCTGTGTAGTTTTGAGAGACGTGTTTCAAAATTAAGGTCTGACGCTTTCATGTTAAAAGTAAAATCCTTGTTATAATTTCTTTGTGTTAAAAACGGTGATGATTCTTTAGTTTTAATTATTAACATCAAAACATAAGAAATGTTCAAATGAAATATTTCTTTCGGATACTAAGCAGTTATTATATTATATCTACGTACATATTGACGACGTTTCTTTTAAATGGAATCCGAAAATTTTACATATCATTACATTTTAAAGGTGGTAGAGCCTAGCTGTGGTGAGTTACTGCAGCTCGAACATGGGCTGGCTCGACCGGGGAAGTACCACCCTCTCACAGAAGATCGGCGTGAAGTAGCCTTTACCGGCTGCGTTTCGTCTGATGAGTGAGAGAGCCGGTTGCCCTTTCCCTATTCCTACCCTTTCCCTTCATTTCCTTATTCCCTCCCCTCCCTATAGCCAAAAAACAAGGTTGGCAACGCATCCGCAACAAAATGCTGTGGATGTCCATGGGCGACGGTAACCACTTTCCATCAAGTGGGCCGTCTGCTCTTTTGCCACAATAATAATAAAAGTAGTATTGATTATATCGAAAAACATGGTCACTCCAACTTCCAAACATTAGGTGATTTACAAATAGATGGACTAATCTTATTTATATGCTATAATCTCTTATGTGTATATATATTTATATACACAGCGTTATTTTAAATGGTTCTTATTTAAGGGTGAAACGCCAGAGCTAATCAAGTCCAATGAGTGTTCTCTTACTAGATGTCATGATGGTTTAATGAAATGATATTTTTAAAACCGTATATAATTGTTATAGCGTTCCTAGTTTTTATATATGTATTAAATATAAATAAATATACTACATGTCTTGAATTCATTCAAATTGAAAATCGGGAGTCAAAATTTTGATACTTGTAATTTAACATATATTTAAAAAAAACCACGTTATTAATAGAAATTGATATATCAATTAATAACTCATAAGGATGGACGTTTAAATGCTTCTCACCTTTTATGCCATTGCAGCAAACTTGACATTTGCAGCACTTCTGCAGACTCCGAAAACCACATACTGGCTGCCAAAATTTGAATACTTACTTTGTTTTAGAAACGTTTGTTTTATTTTTAATGGAATATTAGTTCAATTAATATTCTAATTTCTAAGGAATAAAAATATATCTTCTATATACATAAAAATGGATTGCTGTTCCTTAGTCTCGCTAAAACTCGAGAACAGCTGAACGGATTTATCTTATCTTAGTCTTGAAATATTCGTGGAGGTTCAGGGAAGGTATAAAGGCTGAAAAAAATTGATTCATTACTGGGAAAACCATAAAAACAGCCCTTTTCTATTTCCCATACAAACGTTTTTTTTGACATTAGATTTGACAACTAACTAATATGTCAATCATTCTGTCGCACTTCAAAACACGGAGATTTATGGCTTAAAGGTAAACTCCAAAAATATAAATAAAAAAAAGTAATAGATATAATTTCTTGACTATAGGGCGATACGAAGTTCGCCAGGTCTTCTAGTGTATAATATTTTATTGTAATATCTACCTACGTACATGCATGGCCCGCTTTCTCACGTAGTTGTGTAAAGTGACACCGAATGTAGACTCAGCTTTTCGGCGACTTGGTACATGATAACACCATAATATAATAATACTGTCAAGGAATAATCGCTCTTATTACAAGTGAATTAAGACTGTAATTGTATGATATAATTTAGTAATGTTTTCTCAGTACAGAAGTGCAAGTGGTGCAATCCACGGCTCATGGTTCTGCACATGTCAGGTTCAAAGCGCGAGCGCACCTTGCGCGTAAAAATAGTTTTAAGATACTAGTAAAGTTATTGAAGTATACACATACATACATACATAGTTTCACGGGCTTTCCTTGTTATATACCTAGGTATAAGA